GACTGAGGCTGATCTCAACGTCAGTATCATACAAAGGTAAGCTAGGGTGGCACCCTCAAGTTTTCTTTCATTTAAAATTCACCTTGTGTGATGAAACAGGGACTTTATTTTTATTTGTGGAATTAAGGTTTTCATCATTATAATCAGGTTTCATCCTCTTTCTCCATTTCCATTCTCTTTCACTAAAACACTTTAAGAAAACCAAATAGCTAACCTTTTCTTTCAGGGCATTAAAATATTCTAAAGTTCATTTGAGGCCAACTATGAGCTCCTGGAGGTAAGAGATCATGTCTTATTTACTTTAATTTTTCCAATGCTCAGCACATTGCTGGATGCATGGCGGCTGCTCAGTATATATTTGCTAAATGCATATAGCAGCCAAATAAAGTTTTTGTGATAACAGAATTGCATGCTGTTGGCTGGAGTAGTTCAGTGTTCAAAAGATTGTGTTTGTATGAGATCATTTCAATATATACTAGAATGGATCAGGTGTGGGACTGTAATACACAGTTAGCCCCATCACTATGATATGTTTTGATTTATGAAACTTCAGCTCTCAGTCACACAATTTTTGCTTACAAGGTAAATTTGCTAGTTAATTACTAGCTTCAAATAGAATTATCTAGCTGAGTTTTGTAACCATAGAAATTTGGAGATGGTTCTTTTTGAAATGAAGAAAATGTACTTTTCTTTTTCAGAGAAATTTCCTCTTTCCATTTCAACTTTATACTGATAGCAAGAAGTTGATAATAAAATTTCACCATGCATTGTACAGACTAAGTCTTTTAACTTTGAATGAGTAGAATAAGATCTAGAAATTGTTTTGGGACTATTTTAAATAACTTTTCAGTAGAAATATCATAAGCCTCACTTACTGCTTTTTTTTTTTTTTTTTTTTGAGATGGAGTCTCACTGCGTCACCCAGGCTGGAGTGCAGTGATGCAATCTTGGCTTACTGCAACCTCCACCTCCGGGGTTCAAGCAATTCTCCTGCCTCAGCCTCCCAAGTAGCTGGACAGGTGCACACCACTATGCCCGGCTAATTTTTGTATTTTTAGTAGAGATGGGGTTTCGCATGTTGGCTAGGCTGATCTTGAGCTCCTCACCTCAGGTGATCCGCCTGCCTCAGCCTCCCAAAGTGCTGGGATTACAGGGGTGAGCCACCAAGTCCAGCTATCACTTACCGCTTTTGGATTGCAAGACTGACATCTGAGCGACTATGGCTTTTGACTCAATGGGACTACACCACTGGATTAAATCAAGTGAGTCTATGCGTGGACTCTCAGTCGAAATCCCTTCAGTGTTGTCTGGAGTCCAACAATCAAGAACCTCTTCTGGGACACACTCTAAAGACTGACTTACCGGCACTGCAAAACTCATTTCCAGGAGGCATAGGATCAGTATCAGGTCCTTCATTTTGAAAAGTGGAATCTAAAACATAATTAAGTTGGAGAATTAAATCAGATTAATTTTTATTCAGAATGGTTAAAAGACAATTTTTGAAAATGAGCCTGAGTCTCTGCTCTTCCAAAAACAACCAGGATAAAGGTTAGAAGAACAAAATAAAAAACTAACTTGTATGTAGTAGTTTCTGAAATAAATTGACAAGCAATTAAAATATATCTAAGCACTTTTTAAATGGATCTACAGCCTGAATAAATATGTAGGAACAACCTCCATCGATATCCTATAAGTGCTATGTTTCATTTCATAAAGTGAATTATGAATTTAAAAATCCTTCCCACTAAGTAAAATATTGGTCTACCAGGTATTATTCACAGAAGTTTATACTTTGCTTACCCTTTGGGATACATTTTGAAATGTATGTGAAATGTAATGCACCTAACAGTCATTTTATAACAAACCTTTATTTGCAGGAATAGAGGGTATATCATTGCATGTTTAGTTTAGGTAATGTACGTAACCATTCCAAAACTTATCTTTTCAAATGAGAGTAAATTGGCTATCTTAATTTCCTTTGATGTTAGTGGAAAATATGTTTCAAATTTAGCTTTCCTCTTCCTAAAATGAATTATCTTTTAAAATTTATTCTATAAATTCAAAAAGCTCTTTATTCTTACATGAATAGAGATCTGAATAGCCAAGAAATTTACTCATCTTCTAATATTACAAAAAATTAGGCAGTATAATAAAAAATAGTTAAGAAAATACAGTCTATAGATAAAAGTCTTTTTTTTTTTCTTAGTTGAATGGGTGTTAGGCATGTCATCTCTTAACATGCTAATGGATTACAACAAGCAATAATTCAGCTACTGGTGACAAATGAAGATAAATCCTCTTTATAAAAGCTGTCTGGAGATAGGAAAAAAAGAATTTACAGGAAACACATGGAAATCATAAAATCCCATTTTACCTTAGATGCTGACATGCACTGTGCTCTCAGGGCCTGATGATGCCAACCAAGATAGTTCTAAGAAAAGAAGATTAAAATTTTTTTCAGGACTGTGCGTGGGACTTGCTCTGTACTTCTCATTCAGGGAAGATTAGAAACCTTTATTTAAAGTGCCAATCCACCAATCAAAGTGAAGCAAAATGGCTGGGGG